TTTATAACACAAAAACACAAAGCTCAAGTTTTATGTTATTGTAGTTATATTTAACTGGGTGAAAATAATGTGTGAAAATTGTAGAAAATTATAGATAAGTTGTATTCCTCTATAACGGGAGATGTGGGCATATTAAGTAACTTTAGTGTTACAGACGAACATGCATGAAAATAAAGATAAATTCTGTTATGAACAGTTTGTAGAAATTTTGTAGATAATTTGTAGAAACATTGAAATTCTGTATTTTCATATTAATTTTTCAAATGATATGTAGTTTTGTTATAGATTAAATGTAGAAAACAAGCCATTGTGAGTCTTATTTGACTCATTACTCACATTCAACCTATTCTACAAATTTACGCCTCTTTAAATACAATACAACCATACTTTCTTGAATTTAAAAGTATAACAATATATATAACTTAAAAAACATCTTCTCCTCTGCATAAGTTAGCTCCAAAACAGACGAAGTAGAATAACAAGCTCCCATCAAAACTTTTAACACAAAAACACAAAAGCTCAAAAATAAATAAACAACAGTCTACAAATTTTCTACAATTTATCTATAATTGCTGCAATATAATGTATGTCATGTCTTCTTCTTCTTCTTCGAGTTTCAATCTGAAATTCAGCTAAAATCAAGTCTAATCTTCACCAAAACCCCTCAAAATTGAGATATAAACTCCAAACCATATTCCCAATTATTTACAACAACATCCATTCCAAACAAATAATGATTCTTGAAAGCCCAAATTTGAATTTAAAGTTTCAAAGCTTTTTAATGGATGTCAATGGTGGAATTATTGCTCTCTTTTCCTTTCCTCTTATATTACAGAAGAACCCGAAATCATAACCATCAAATCGACCAGGCTTGTGCTCATCTTCCCCGGGCACAAAAACATTGGAACAATATTGCAGAGGTGCCGACAGTGCCTTGGCTATGGAAGAAATAATGAGATTTTGATACAGAAATCATGGGCGTGGGAGGGAAACGTGGGTGAAGGTGTGAGAATTGGAGAGAGAAACGAGGGGGAGTGATATTAGAAGGAATATACGGTACCATTAAATTAGGAGTGTAACTAATACCCTTAAAAACCACTAATGGTATATAAATGGTAATTAAATATACTAAATGTAATTATATCAAACCTTAAACATTGAGGGTAATATAGTTTCCTATATGGAATATGAATGTAAAAATTCCAGACTTCAACCACACCTCAAGCCCATGGTACAAGGTTCTAACATTGCAGAAATTAGATATCTCTATATAAGTATCTTTATATAAAGAGAGTTTTATAGCTTTGCCCACAAAAATTAAACTAATTATCATTGCCTACCCATTAATTTTTCTACCCACTAAACTAATTACCCTTGCTATCCATTGGGGTAATTATTATTTTTTCTCATTTTCTTTTTAATTCTCTATTTTTTTCTTCTCTTTCTTTTCTCCTTTTATTTTTTCTTGTATATATTTATTTATTTATTTATTTATTCCTTTTTTCCTTTTTCTTTTTTCTGTTCATCTTTTTCAGAATCATATATGTTCGCCATAATCTGGTTTTATACTCAATTTAGCTTGTTTCATTTTATTTTTTATTTTTATTTTTATTTCCTTTTTTTAAAATTTCACGTTCTTTTTCTAATTTCATTCAAATTTTTTAATTACCTTTTTCTCCCATATTATTATTATTTTATGTCTTCTGAAACCTACTTCTTATATAATGAATATTATTTTCATGGAACTCCATAAAAAAATTCATTTAAGAAAACATTTGCAAGGACATAGTTGGAAATATTTTAAAAAATTTTAAAAAAATTATTTATTATGATATACTGTTATATTATATTATATACTATAATAGTATAATATTACTATAACCATGACTTTAGCTTCACACAATTGCACCTAGATGACTCAACAAATAGCAGTCGAAGCATACTATTATGGTATATTGTATACTATTACAACATACCGTTGCAGTTGCATATTATTACAGTATACCATTACAGTATATTATATACTATAACAGTATACTGTTGCAATATAGCTATATACTTCTATAGTATATTGTATACGGTATACTGTTAGGTAATTGTGTTCTTCTTCGATTGTTATAGTATACTGTTGCAGTATATTATATACTATAATATTATACTATTGCAGTATAGCTATATACTCCTACAACATATCGTATACAATATAGATATATTATTGGGTAACTGTGTTCTTCTTTGATTTTCAGCTGAAAAATTTGATCTCAATCACCTCAAATCAGCTCCAACTACGATCAAAATTCAGTATGAACTTCCAGAATGTACTATAAGCAATATTTAATAATACCCACTTTGAATCAAACAAGAAATCTTCAAAATAAAAATTTTATATTCAAGAGCTTCAAACCCAACAATAATGGATATTCAAATACACATAAACATTCAGATCCTTGAAGCTTACTCGATGGTACTATAAGTAATATTTTAAAACACCCGCATCGAATCAAACAATAAATCTTTAAAATAAAATTTCAAATTCATGAGCTTCAAACTCAAGAATGGTGAGTCTTCATACACACAAAAATCAGATCGAGGAAACTAATATATTAAGTTATCGTATGTGCCACTAAAATAAAGAAAAACCAAATTATTTAGTTATCAGATTGTAATAGCTACTAAGTAATTTTGCAAAAAAGAAGCTGGATGTTTTTAACATTCTGTACTTCAAATACGAAGGCAAATAGCTAATGTAGGTCGGGTAAATAGTTTGAACCGCATATGTAGGAAAAATAAATAGTTTAGGCTTGGGTATTAAAGGGTAAATAGTATGGGCTTAATGAGTATAAAATGAGGCTACTTTCATTAATAACAAACTATTAAAAATATAATACAAAAGATTATCATTAACTATTGAATAAAAAATATGGCAATAAAATATTTATACATATAGCAGATTTCATTCGATTCAAATCATCACGAATCAAGCTACTTAAAAAGGCAGTCTTAGTATTTAATATCTTTCCCTATTTTTTCTCTCCACTCCATAACATGTTTTATATTTTTGTTGGAAATCAGTCCATTCCATAACAGATTTTTTCCTTTCCATACATGGAGCTTTTTATATAATTAAATATAGCGAAATTATACATCTTTATATTTTGATGAAATAAAATACATATATTTTATGAAAAATATATAATGTATGTTTGTGGTATATATACATTATAAATCATGTATGTTTTAGGAAAATTCATGTATATATGCATATGCTGTTCATATACGTCTTTATATTTAAATACATATCATCGATCCATTCCATAACAGACTTTTTTCTTTTTATACATGTACTTTTTTATTCAACTTAATCCTACCAAAATTTATATCTGTATATTCTAATGAAATAAAATACATATATTTCGTGAAAAAATATAATGTATGTTTGTGGTATATTATAAATCATGTGTATTTTAGGAAAAATCATGTATATATGCATATGTTCTTTATACACTTATTTAAATAGATATTATTAATATACCATTTATTTTGCAATAATATAATGTGTATATTTGTATAAATTATCCGTATATAAACAGTATATGTGACATTTTTTTCTTTCTTCTATATACATATTAGTGGCATGTTAATATTTTAGATTAAATTTTATATAAGGTATTTGCTAGCAATATACTTTTAATAATATCAATATAATAATGTATTATGATGTGTGTATATATATATATGGTATAAATATATATGACATATTGATGGAATATTTACATTGTAAATTATCACAATATAATATACTTGAAATATATTATAGGTATATTTTGAGTTAAAATAAAATTGTACAGAAAAATGTTTAAAACTCAAAAAAAAAAGAAAATATTAAAATTCTCATTGTGCAGAAAGAGTTATTTTTGAGATATTCTTCTTTCTGAATCTTTGATATATTTGGGTAAGTATTTTTTATGAAAGAGAAAAAAATTATATGGAAGAGTGAGAGAAAAGAAAATGTAGAGATGAGGTTACTTGGATAAATAAAGGTGCTACAAGAAAGAATGGACATTGAGCAATAGTGACCTGTGTATTTGGCATGCTGATCTATACTCTATGGAGGGACAGGAACAAGCTCAGATTCCATGAGGAACAATAACATTTGATAGCACCTGCAGAGAAATAGCGATACATATACACACTAGAGGAAGATCAATATAGAAATGGCAAGCAACACTCAATCAGCTAAACTGTTATCCCTAGGCTACAATGTAATCTGTGTTGATCTTGTTAGGTACTTAGTCGGAGTATCTGCATATTTAGACCGAAGAAATTGATGTAATTAGGAATGTGGATGGTCAGCATCTACTTGCCTTGTAAAGATACTTTTTTTGGAATGAATAGAAAACACTGTTTACCAAAAAAGAAAGAAAATGTAGTAAAAAGTGTATTAATATAGAGGGATCCCCTTAATTATGGAGTTATCAACGTGAAAGTGTTAAAAAAGTAAAAAAAAAAAAGTGCCATTTTTGAAATAAACAAAGCCTACTATCATTTATGATAATAGGTTTTAAAAAGGGACAAGCTTGTAAACATGAGATTTTTTCGTCGAATTTATTGTTTACTTTATATATTGGTATTGTTTGATTAGAATATCTATGCAATCACAGTTGTAAGCGCTTCTCTAGAAAATATAAAGCCATTAGAGAAATTCTTTTAATTTTTCAAACCAAAAAAAAAAAATCTTACTCTAGAAGTGTTTTCATTTTTTGCAAAAATTGGAAAAAATATCATTAGTTATGATTGGTTTCAGTTTTTTTTTTTTGAAAAAATAGAAAATAGTTTTCATTTTCTTCTACAATGAATGCCAAATGTTTTGGATTAGTAAATGTGTTTTTTTTAAATCGTACTATTTGTTTTAGAAAAATAACTTCTTTTTTTTTTCGATTTTTAGAAACAATACCACGAAAAAGGAAGACTTCTATGGGGAGACTTTCGCCTCATTGCTCGAAACGTATATATGCGTGTTTTCACTATGCTTTTCCTCTGTCAAAAGCAATCTCTCACATTCCCGATACACTAAACTTCTATTCACATTCATCTGATTTTAACATTTCCCGTATAAATTCGGAATCGCAGTTATATCAACCATTGTACTAAGTTCAATTTTCCAATTCTTTGTTTCCCAGGTATGAATTTTAATATCATCTTTGAATTGCACTACTTAGTTTTTTCCGCTATATTTTAGAGCGACCCTAATTGAACTAGAATCTCGATTTTGTAGCTCAATTTCATATGTATGATCTTTTGAAATTAGATGTTTTGGTAAATTAAGAAGTCCCAGTTTGAAGAGCTTGATCGCACTTTATTATTGTCATTATAGCAGATGGGTTCGATAAAATCGACTTGTTCCACTCTCTAGTGTGTGTTTGGTATGAAAGGAAAATGATTTTTTTGAAAATAAGTGATTTTCCTACTTATTTGATGGTGTTTGATAAGTAAGCAGAAAATATTATTACAAGAACATTTATGTAACAATCTAANGGGATTTAGGGGTGTGTTGGGGATTGGGGGTGGGGGTGAAGAGGAGACAATAGCATGGAATGCAACTTATAGAACTTGTTTTTCCTACTCTCACCATGAAAGTCATTTTCCTTATTTAAGGTACTTGTTTTCCTAGAGCAAATATTTTGACAAATCAAACATGGGAATATTGGTTTTCCTCGTACCAAATACACCAATAGCGTGCTTAAATTTTCTTGATGCTGGAGCTCAATTTTACTACTCACTTTGTCGCATTTTATGTGGCATTATTTGACTGAGCACGGGGTTTAAGAAAAGAGCTTTGAAACTTGTGATTTAAAACATGCTATTGGCATTTGTGTGGCAATAAATCACCTCGTTGAGCGTAAAATGAAAATTTTAAAGTTAAATTGTTTCAAAATAAAGAAATGTGTCAATCATCTTTTGGGACAGACTAAAAAGAAAAGTGGCCGCATAACGGGCCAGAGGGAGTATGTTATTTTCAATTCTTATGCATTTTCTCAGCCTCTTGCAGAAATACAGGATAAGGCTGCGTACAATAGACCTTTGTGGTCCGGCCCTTCCTCGGATCCCGCGCATAGAGGGAGCTTAGTGCACCGAGCTATCCTTTTTTATGGATTTTCTCAGCAGCCAAATGGCGCTTCGACATTAGATTGAATGGGTAATGAAATGTAAATTTTACTATGTATAGATTTTTTGCTCCAGCTGCAGATTCTTGAGTAGAGATTCTACTGGCATTTTCATTATTGTTTGAGGGCTCCTGAATTATTTTGATTGAATGGATGTGGAGGGAGCCGGTACTTGGTCAGGAAATGGTGCAGAATCTGTAGAATCTCATTCCCGTCCAGTTCGACGACATCTGAATAATGGTAAGCTCAAAGTGCAAAAAGATTCAGTTATCCTATGAGCCAGGTTTCTGTGATAGTTAAATTTTGTTAAGATTTTGGGGCAACGGTTTAAGGAAAGAAAGCTCCTTTGATTGTAATCATGAAAAAAATAAATTGCTGCCAGGGATCTATCCCTTTACCCACAATGATCGGCCATACTTTGCTATCCATAACGGGAAAGAGTATTTGCCAACTATTATGATAGATAGATAATATGATATGCGGCAACTTGAGAGAATTTGCGCCTGCTTTAAACTGTCAAGGACATGCATAAAGCTATAATAGATCTCAGCAATGAAAAAACTGTGGAAGTCCTCAACTTTCTTTGTTTTGACTTGTGGAGAGTGCAGATTGATGTTATAGAGCAGAATAACCTTCCATCATGAATACTATGAATTAAAACCAACAAAAACAAAGAAGAAGTTCTTATGGGTAGAAATTTTCTCTCAGCGAGCCTGGTACTTTAAGGAGTAGATCCGAACTAAATATTAAGAAATTTTAAATTTGTTATAGCTGCTGCCAATTTTTAAACTAGAGAAAATGTCTTCTTGTTATAAAATTCTTCTTAAATGTCTCTTTTGTGGGTCTTGTTGATGTTATGCTGGTGGTACTTTGGGTTATGTTGATAGAAGTTGAGTTTCGAGTTGCAACAGCATTGTGTGGGGTTGTGGTTTGGGATGGTTATTAGTTATTTCTGGTATGTGGTGATGGGGAGTTAATGGTAGTATTAGTCGGTGATGGAGATCGTGGTTGCCTTGGTTGACCCTTAGCTTAGCTGGGAAGGACTTATGAGGATACTATCATTATGAATTAGGCCGTGACCTTATGCCATCCTTCTTGTATTTATTACCCAATTCTTATAGAGACATTAGGCAAGACATATAATCAAGTCATGGTATTAGTATGGTCACATTTAACAATAGTTATGTGAAGAGAATGTCTAATATCAGAGGACTTGCTTGGTTTCTACAGAAATGTTAAGATATAAACTCAAAGTAATTGGTTTATGTCGCTCCGAAATAGGATCAACTGAGAGTGACTTTCATATGAAGAGAGATAGTGTCTGCGTCCATAATAAAGTAAGAGTTTGGTGTGTCTACCTGTTGGTTATAAATTCTGTTTTTGGGTCAAGTGGTGGGATTAAATAAGCTTCCTCAGTAGCGTGAAAGCATTCTTTGGAAGATAGGTTCCAATTGTACTTCACTTACTAAAGGTTACCGTCGTTGCTAGAGTCTTGGTATGTCTGTTTCTTTATAATAGGCATATAAGAGAAGAATATGTGAGTTTGAGGAGTACGTTATGCCATCTCTCTACGAAATATAGAGTTGGTTATGTGATCGTGACATTAGGATTGCTGATGCATCTTCACTCAAAATATCAAGTTATGATTATTTCAATTAAGCTTTTGTTCTATACTGATTGGTACTCATCAAGTTGATATTATTATTATTATCATTGTTATTATTCTTGTTATTGTTATTGTTATTATTCTTGTTATTGTTATTGTTATTATTGTTATTATTATTATTATTATTATCATCAGTTTCCCATTGATCTTCCTCATTTCTCAGTATTATCTCGTAAGCTTAGTGTAATGCAACTCTATTTATACTTCATAACCTATCAATTACAGAAGTAGAGCCTAACTATTGATGTTTCATTCTCACATTTGCAGCTGTATATCAGTTTACTCAACAAAATCTTCCGGCATGTAAACCTGTCCTGACACCAGCATGGGTAATTATAATTGAAGTCTTTCTCTGAAATGTCCCTTTCCTTTTATAAATCAACAGGGTATTGAACTTCTCTGACTACATCTTCTTAACAGGTTATTTCAATGTTTTTCTTGATAGGCGTCATTTTTATTCCAATTGGACTTCTCTGTCTTCATGCTTCTGAAAGTGTAAGCGTTAGCTCTTCTGTTGATTAAAGACATTAGTCTGCATAATCTATTGGTTTCCCATTCATGATCAATAAGTTTGGTTTAGATGGTTGACCAAAAAAGCATTTGCAGGTTGTTGAGATTGTTGACAGATATGATACAGATTGTGTGCCAGATCATCTCAAGGGCCAAAAAGTTACTTACATCAAAGATAGCTCAGTTTCAAAGAATTGTACCCGATACTTAAAGGTGATATTTCATTACAAGTTATGAGCTCACATTCAAACTGCCTTTTTTTCATATGTTGTTTCTCCTCACCTTATAAGATATTACCGTGTCATCTGGAAAATACTAATACTCCCTCCGTTTCAATTTATGTGAACCCATTTGACTGGGCACGGAGTTTAAGAAAAGAGAGAAGACTTTTGAACTTGTGGTGTAAAATGAGGCACATATATTTTGTGTGGCTATAAATCATTGCATAAAGGTAAATTGTTTCCAAATAAGGAAAGGGGTCATTCTTTTTGGCACGGACCAAAAAGGAAATAGGTTCACATAAATTGAAATGGAGGGAGTATGATATAAGCTTTGACTTATTTGTGCTCTATCCTCTCTGTACACCTCTTATCCACTCCTGAATAGCTTTATATGACACTTCATTAAGCATTCTTCTGGACATCCAGTGATGAGGATGTATACTTTGATTGTTCATAGAAGTTCATCCAATGAACAGCAATTCCGCACCACTTTATCCCCAATAAGAACTTTTCACTGCCAAAACTCGTTTTGGCTCATATTGAGTAGAAACCTTCGGCTTCCCTGGTCGTAATCCTTCTCCATGTCCAGTTTACACACCAGCCCCTGTTTACCTTCTGTTTAATATAGCATGCAATCTTTCATTTGCTATTAAAACAGCATCAGTAATCTGCTCGCTTCTAATGAAAGCATTCTGTGTATCTCAAATTGATTATGCTAGAAATTTTAACCTTAAGGGTGAATATCTTATGACACAATCTTATAGAACTCCTGTTCAAACTGATTCACCTNGGGGGGGGTAGATTCTCCTAAGTAAAGCACACACTCACATATATACATACATAATACAAGAATCATGGAAGGGTCCAATACTACTACATGCTATATTGGTATTCATTGTAAAGATTCCAAAGGTAAGTTCCTTGATTTTTGTGTTGTCGTATTGCTTTAACTGGTTGTATTCACTTTGAGCGAGAGTCCTGTGTATTTATGTGTATAATTATTCACTTTCAGAATGTCAAAAGTTTTCTTAGGGAAGGGTTGAGATCATATTTTTGAAGGTGTATTGTAATCATGACAACTATTGTGGATTAAATAGTTAGAAAAGATGAAGCAACTCTAGCCAAATACTGTATGATTGTCATTTATAAAAATCTAGCAAATTATTGTCTTAGCAATGAGGTTCTGTGATAGGTACTCACCAAACCTGATTCTGAAAAGAAGCAATAGCAGCATTCTTAGTTGATGCATGATGATAAAGTGCGTCTTTGGAAAAAATTTCTTCCTTTTTCTTTTACTTTCAGGAAGAGCTTTACATACACGCAAGAAAATAAAAGAAGGTAAACTATATAAATTATCGGAGTTCTTTGTTGAACTAGGAAAGCTTGAATGTCCTTTTTCCTCCATTGGTTCGAAGAAGCCAAACCCTTCTAATTTCTTTCAAAAAAGGGAAACCACTTATTTCAAAATAGTTGAATAGTTTCTGTAGTAAAATATTCAATAAACTGCTGCAAATCATATTGAACCTAAAAACAGCATTGTGGTGGCGATCTTAATTAGTTATACTAGATCTTCAACGTAAGCTTTTATTTCCATTAGAAGTGCTGAATTAGAAAAAGTGATTTATACAAATAATATATATTTTTGTGTTATCATGCATCCACATGTCACTGCATACTTGCTTCATAGGGATTGTGAAAAATCTAAAGAGATAGAGTAATTAGGATCTTCAGTTACTTTATTAAAAGCTAAGGAGTCCATTCTTGCAGCATTAACGTGGGTTTAAAACTTTGTGCAACTCTTAAATTCTGGGAATGTTATTTCACCAGTTCTTATGACATAGATTTGGGCAGAGTTTAAAACGTTGTGCAACTATGTTCTTAGCTCGTTTTTCAAGTCTTGGACTGAATTTTGTGCATTACAAAAATAATTGTTCTAAATTCACTTATAAAAAGAAATAAAAAGAACGAATAACTTCTTGAAATTTTTGCCTCACTTGTATTGCTGGGGAAATAGTATATTCCTTGTTGGTCCATATATTGAGGTATAATGTGTTTGAAATTGTAGCATTCAATCCATGATGCTGATTGCTCATCCAGCAGTATAGTGCATCCTTCCATTTTTCTTTGAAAACACAGCCAACCTTTGCCTTTTTAAGTTTCTCGTGATGGGATTTCCATGATTGGAGCAACCCTCTCTTGTTTTGAAATTTTTTCTTTATCCTTCTCACTGATCTGTTTTGTGTTTGTAAATTGTCTTTGTGCAGGTGCCCCAAAATATGAAAGCTCCAATTTACATCTATTATCAACTTGATAACTATTACCAGAACCACAGAAGGTGAAGGCTTTTATCTCCTTTTTTTCATTTTTTTCAAGTACCAACTTTTGCTGGTAAGTTTAAGTTGATGGAAGATTGGAATTACTGGCATTAAATAGTTGATTATCTAAACATTTATAAGTTCCTCTCTCTTTTTCTTTTTTTATATGTTTGCAATAACAGAAGTTGATGGAAGATTGGAATTACTGACATTAAGTTAGTTGCTTATCTAAACATTTATAAGTTCCTCTCTCTTTTTCTTTTTTTTATATGTTTGCAATAACAGATTCTTTTCTCAGTTACGCCACATTCTTATCGCATTATATACTAGTTGTACCGTTTTGTTTTCTCAATTTTCTTTATTCACCTATTTCCTTTTTGAATGCTACGGTGCTAGAAGGGGAACCTTGGAGCAACAAGTTGTCTCTGTGGAACCTATAGGTCACGAGTTCGAGCCGTGGAAGTAGCCACTAATGCTTTCATTAGGGTAGGTTGTCTACATCACATCCCTTGGGGTGCGGCCCTTCCCTGGACCCTGCGTAAATGCGGGATGCTTTGTGCACCTGGCTGCCCTTTTTTAGTGCTACGATGCTAGTACATTTTTCATAAATTGATTCCTCTGTTTGAAGTACATTTTGTGAATCTATATTCTCTGAATTGTTCATTTCTGACTCAGCTTGGTTCTTTCAATCCAGGTACGTTAAAAGCAGAAGTGATAAACAGCTTTTACATGGACTAAAGTACAATGATACAAGTTCTTGTAACCCCGAAGGCGAAAATAATGGTCTCCCAATTGTTCCTTGTGGTTTGATTGCATGGAGCTTGTTTAATGACACATACTCCTTTTCCCGCGGAATAGATGCTCTAAAAGTCAACAGGAAAAATATTGCTTGGAGGAGTGACCGTGAACACAAATTTGGGAAGCATGTTTATCCATACAATTTTCAGAGTGGGTCTTTAATTGGTGGTGCAACATTGGACCCTAAAGTTCCTGTAAGGCCTTTTGAGTGATGCAGCAACTTTGACTATTCTTTTCTGTTAATGAAACATATGTTATTACGAAATTGAAAGTTAAACCAAGGCATATAAATTAAGGTTCTGGCCTTCATGTTAGAGTCAATATCTCTGCTAGAATCCTTAGACTAAAGAAGACGGAAAAATAAATGACCAGTGGGAAAATAAGTATCATTCTTGATAAATTTCTTTTTTTTCCTGGATGAACATGTACACGAGTCACTACTAACAGTCTGAGACAAATACTGATCATGGAAAGCAATTTTGGCTCTGTTCTAGATTCCCCGCCACATGCTGTGAAGCTGTTTCTCTGTTTGCCCTGATGCAGTTTCTAGCTTTAAAAGGGCAGCCTGGTGCACTAAGCTCCCGCTATGCGTGGGGTCGGGGGAAGAGCCGGACCACAACTGGTCTACTGTACGCAGCATTATACTGCATTCCTGCTAGAGGTTGTTTCCACGGCTCGAACCCATGACCTCCTGGTCACATGGCAACAACTTTACCAGTTACGCCAAGGCTCCCCTTCTAGCTTTACTGCACAGTAACAGTCAACTTAATTTTTCTTGCTAGGTATCATGCTTACATGTGGCACTCAATGTTGAGATATTGCATTTATGAATTGCATCTTTATAAATTTTATTTTCTTGGATGAACGTGTACATGAGTCACTACTAACTGTCTTAGATGTGGCACTCATGAGTTGAGATATCGCACTCACGAAGTCTTTATATCAGCTTGCACTCATGAGTTGAGTCTTTACAATCATATTCTCTATTTTGAATCCTTGCTTAAAGATTGGAATTTTTAGCACTTCGTTGGTGACATATTGTTTTAAGATTAAGCATAAATTATGACTTCAAAATTGTGATTCTTGCCTTCTCTTTCACGAGTATATGGATTTGTCTTCTATCTAATTCTCTTCTCTAATGTTCTCCTTTTTCATGAACCATATTTCCTCTTTGTAATGGGATTGATGGAATCAACCAGCTAAGTGATCAGGAGGATCTCATTGTATGGATGCGTACTGCTGCTCTCCCTAATTTCCGTAAATTATATGGAAGAATTGAAGAGGACTTAAATGAAGATGATTTAATTATGGTGAAGCTTGTAAACAACTACAACACTTACAGTTTTGGTGGAAGGAAGAAACTTGTTCTTTCAACAACCAGCTGGCTTGGTGGCCGGAATAACTTCCTTGGAATGTCCTACATTGCTGTCGGCTCTTCATTTATCTTCCTCGCTTTTGTCTTCTTATTACTTCATGTGAAAAATCCAAGGTAAACCTTCATGTAGGCCAATATACAAATTAATGCTTCATGACACCCTTTTATATGTGCCAAAATCCTGTTCTGCACTTACATAAGCTTCATGGTGTACTGTGGGGCATCCTTCCTACCCCATCTCCCCTGCCTCTTCCCTTCAGGAAACGGAAATACAGATGCCTACGTTTTCATTTAGACCATCTAAGAAACAGGTGAAATTGCAGGAGAATGCTGTTTTGCATTAAGATAGATCTGAAGTACAATAACAAGAAACTGGATGTTAGTTATGCTAGTTAAAGCAACTTTATTGGTTATATTTTCTCTGTTTCCATTCATGAGAATTTAAGTGTGTGTGTGTGCACGTATGGTGGGGAGAGAGAGAGTTAGGGGACGAGGACGGTGATGCTCTATCCTTGACCAGCAAGAATATTAGGGTGTCCAACAGTTGAGATTGGCCAAGAGATAACAGTGGAAGCAGAAATACAAAATCCTATTTAAAATGTGAACATTTTTGAGACTCTTGAGCCGAGGGTCTATTGAAACCATCCTCTCTACCTTCTCAAGGTAGGAGTAAGGTCTGCGTACAAACTACCCTCCGCAGACCCCACTTGTGCGATTACACTGGGTTTTTTGTTGTTGTTAGAGATCTTCTTTTTCCTCTTTCGATACACAAAGTTCTGNAGAGGGGCTGCCAATTTATTAATCCTTGACTCTTGCTCAATAAAAGAATGCTCCTTGCTGAGTGACTGAGCCCTACAAACTGGCGCAGATTTGCTGGAGATTCTTGCAGTGGAGGATAGGAAAATGTAAGAATAAGAAGTATTGGCTGAAGGGATGCTGGGAAGGGGAATAGGGAATTGCCTCCAATTGTAGATAGATTGGGTGGATGGTTGTTGATAGAGTATCTACACGGTTGTGTTTTAGTTTCCGCTGGGTAACCAAGAGTTCTGACAGCTCGACATAGTGCTAGCTTTTCGTTCTTTATTTACTTCCCATGACACCTAAGATAGTTTTAAATCTGGCTCACTGCAAATGATTAGTATATTTTTTCTGTAAAAGTGCTCAGAATTATTAACCTACCTTCAGTTTACTGATACTGAGAGGTTGTACATCCCATTGAAAGTCATGGTTGTTCAGCCTTTTCTGCATGTTGTCGGGACTTTGATTTGAGCTCCCCTTTATGCAGGCCTTATGGGGATACAAATTTATCTTGGAACTGGAAAGGCATGTCAAACTAGAAGGTATTACTACTTCTAAATTACAAATTCCTCTTCGAAAAGTTTGGCCTTACTAAGTGAAGTTCTTATAATGAGAACAGTAGAACATCTGTTAAGAGGATGCATTGTGTTCATGAAGGCTATGATTGGGTGTTGGAATCATAAACCCAAACAATTTGGTACCATTTCAGTAATTTGTGTTGGCATGCTAAGACCTATATGTATCTTCAAAAATTTCTTGAGTAGTTTGTTGCTGAAATGCTTTGGGGAAATGACACTATATAGCCATTCTCAAAATAATAGCCGAAAAAATGTATAATTTTTGTATATTTTTTGTGTATATATATACATTATGTATGTTATATGCAAAAATTATACAAATTTTATACACTTTTTTATCTACCAAATGTAAATAGTTTCCGGTGCGGCTAAATGCTTTAGCAAAATTCCTAGGTCCTAGCTACTTCTGGCTGAGTATGTAATGTGAACAATAAAAAGTTAGCTAACTAGCTAGTTAGTTATGTATTTGCAAGATGAATCAGATAATTATCGTCTTCTACTACATTCAAATTTCATCCAAATGGTCAATAAAGTATAATAACAACATACCCAGTGTAATCCCACAAGTGAGGTTTGGGGAGGGTAGTGTGTACACAGACCTTACCCCTACCTTTGTGAAGATAGAGAGACTGTTTCCGAAGACCTTCGGCTCAAGAAAAACGACAAAAAGGGAAGAAATCAACAACATATCAACAAAATAATAAGCTAACCGAAGCGAATAAACAACAGGTACCAATAGAACTCTAAGAATACGAGAGTACAAGACTAATACTACTACCTACCGACATAGAAATACGCTCGACTACTCACTAACCTCCTACCCTAATTCTCGGCCTCCACAGGCTCCTATCGAGGATCATGTTCTATCGAGGATCATGTTCTCAGTAAGCTCAAGCTACGCCATATCCTGCCTGATCACTTCTCCCAAATACTTCTTAGACCTAGCTCTACCTCTAAAATGGTCAATAAAGTATAGGTTGATGAAATTGAATGGCGAGAGTATGTGCAATCTTTTAAGGTTTGATTGCTTGAATGACTAAATGTGCAATCTTTTTAAGGTTTGATTGCTTGAATGACTAAATCCATCTTAAGGGAGTTAATCCAAGGGTATCTGTGTTGTATTTTGTTTACTTAAAAGTACTATGGCAGTGGGAACTTACAGTGGTAGCATACATTAGTTTTGTTATTTAGATAACCATAGAATGTAATCAGTGTGTTATATGTGCAGATGGATTTCTATGAAAGATGCCTCCTGGTATATAAATGAAGTTATATCAGATATTTTCAGAAGAAAAAGATCCAAAGTATACATTGCAGAATTTGCGAACAATTCATACAATCAGCCTGTGGCTTGATATGTAGCAAGTGTACCTTTTGCTGATAATTTATTTGTAAGCATATATTGTTTTGTACAGCTTATATGAAAGACTATGAAGAGGCTATTATTGGTGTTCAAGTGGTCAATTTGCATTCGCTATCCGATACTGTTTCCTTTGAGAATACAATTTGTGTATAATTAGACACCATTAAATTACTCTTATATCTGACATTTTACTACAATCATCTTCATGTACATTAACTATAGAGGAATGTTGACTTAATACGTGTGCTTGTGTAGACAATAACAACAACAACAATAAACCGTGATCCTACAAGTGAGGTTTAGAGAAGGTAGTGTTTATGCAGCCTAACCCCTGTTGTTTTTGATAAGCCCTCGACCCAGGGGAATCATAGTCACATCATTTATTGAAATTGTGCTTGTGTAGGCATGACAAACATATCTAATTACTTCTCTTTTATTTGTGCGTTAAAAGAAATTAGAACAAGGAGAGAAAAGGAAACAAGAAAAAGAGAAGGATGACCTAAAATTACCATACACGATTGTCATTCCATCAGCGCGTCAAGACGCTCCAATACATAATCAACCCCATGCTCTTTACACCCTAATTAAAAAATCAAAAAAAAAAAGTGTCTAGCATAGTATAATATATGTATAAACCTTATGACAGTAAAACAATAACATGAGATAAATCAACTGTAATATCTTGGCAATTTAAACACTAAAAGGAAAAACAAACTTAACTTCATACTATACCTCCTAACAAGTAGATAGTCAAGAGCCTTTTTCTTAGTATTATAATTTGAAAAATTACTCTTTTTAATATGGTAGGTGCAATCAGAGGCGGACCTATTTATGTAGAAGCGGGGTCACCGGANTATATATATATATATGTTGAAAACGGTCATATATTGCTTGAAACCCTTAAGATTAAAAGTCCTATGCGGCACTGGGTGACCATTTCGTTCATGTACCCCACCACCTTCAAATCCTAAGTTTGCCTCTGGGCGCAACGAATGAAAGTAAACGACATTACACAGTGCATTTGAGAACAAAAATCAATCTTCTGACTATATATTCTTCAAACATAACATCTTATTACAATATCATTATGAAAAATGAATGTCAAAATTGGAACAAAAAGGTTCGACTCGACATCCTATATATTAAACCATAGTGTATCTGTTAATCAATGTATAAGCAAGAATGGAAAGTAAAAGAACATATAATACTTTTTGATCGATAAAATCTTGATGAGTTTTAATTTCTTCTTCTGCAATTGTCTCTAATTTTGGAGCATTGGAAAGCCTACGAGGAGAAACAAAGCGTGCTGGTGCAACTTCTACTATATTATTCATGTATCTCCTTGCCATGCACTTGTCTTAATTAATTTCTTGTTTAAACAAGAAATTAAACTCTTGTTGGATTTTTTTTTTGGAGGAATATAGAAGGTAATTGAGTTTTTTTCTTTATTTTTATTTTAAGGAACAAAGATTTGGTGTTCATTTTATACTAGCTTGATCGAGTAAATGTAGGGTTGAAAATCATTATTATTAGTGATAAACCGTGAAAATAGATACACCTCGTTTGTTAAGAAGTTTTAGTATGAATTAGTGGTGTATGATTGAGGGGTGAAAATTAAATCACAGTTTGTTTCCATAAATCTCGTGGTCAAATGTCGTTGCAATATTATATTCCTTTGTTACTGTCTAATTACTACTATGCAATTTCCCTTGAAAAAAAGAAGCTAAAATCTAGGCAGGCCATGCTTGTTTAACCAAAAAATAGAATTTCAGTCAAAGCTAGAATTTAGAAGAACACGGGTTACTGATAATCAAAAGAATATGCAAAAGAAAATAATTTGAGGTAATTAGAGTGTAATCAGGAGAAAAAACAAGTAAATCAAAGTATATTCCAATAATATCTCTTGTCCTTACAATTGATCAGATACCTCCCTTTTATAGGTATCTTGAAGATATGTGTTTTCCCCAAATCATAATGAGGCTATTATGAATAATTAAAGACATTGAATGCTACGTTACATAATCATTATAATCAATACAAATTCTTTAACGTATCCAGTATTTAATGCCTGTCAAATTCTGTATCTGCACTCTTTACTATGGTCAGATCCATTCCTTTTGATTCTTGGATATAAATGACTTAAACAGGTATGGCCACCCGTGCCTCTTCCTTTGTCCTTGCTCGTTTCTATTGCTGCTCGTGCCTCTTGATGNACCCTCACTCTCGAGAAGTCTCCATTGTTGATTCTTTCCCCAATGCCCCTGTTAGGCATAGAAGAGGAGGTAGACTTCGTAGCTTAGGATATACTCGAGGTGGTTCGTCTATGCCTTCTTCTAGTTCTGGTCCCTCTTCTAGAACCAGAGGTTCCCTTTCTCACAAATCTTCTTCTAGGAGTAAAGAACCTTCTGAACCATTATGCGAACCTTTAGTAGAAGAGATAGTCCTTACAGAATTATCTTTTTACCACGATAGGGAATCTCTTAGAAACCAGATTGCCGCTTTAGATCGTGTCGATACTTACCCCACTCAAATTACAGAAGTTTTGACTCCTGTGGTTCGTAAGGACTGTCATTGGAGTAACGATTTTCCCATTATTATCCCTAATCCAAATCAGAGGATAACTTCTTATTTAACTGGGTTTTCTTTTGTTTACATATACCCTTTTACTTTAGGGTTCAGACCAGCGATTGACCCAGTCATTCTCGAATTTTGCCATTTCTTCAACGTCTGTTTGGGACAAATTGGTTTGATCATATGGAGGGCTGTTGCCTGTTTAAGGCATTTAGCCACTAAAGCCGAAGTTCCTTTTACTTTTCCCCACTTGATTCATCTTTACTCACCTAGGCTTTTTCGCAATGGTATTTTTACACTAGTAGCCATGAGTAAGAGGGTTTTGGTGAGTCTCGAAGATGACAAAGACCGCGGCTGGTATGCCCGATTTGTTGCTACCCCCACTGTTGGTTTAGTGGGTGAGGATAATGTTCCCTTCTCTGAGAAGTGGAATTTTGCACGTAAGTCTTTTAACCTTCTCGTACCTTTTTCCTTCAAGTTTACCAACTTTTCTAATTTTGCTTTTGTTTTTTTTAGCTACCATGGGAGTTGTGAGGGATGATCCCAACTTTCGTAGTTGGGTAAATAAATTGCTGAAGATCGCACCGATGGACGGTAGGTCTTGGAAAACACTTTCTAACCGTTTTGGTTGGAAGGTAAAGACTCATGGTAAGAATTTATATTTTGTGCCTTTCGTATCTATATTCTCTTTTATTGTTCTAATTTCTATCCTTCTTTTCGTCAGGATTTGCTATTCGAGGAGTTACTGCTGAAGCAGTTGTGGCTTCTCGTGTTTCCTCGGGAACCCCTACTCCTTCAGGAACCCGTATATCTCTAGAAAGAGCTCGGGAAATAGTTTTGGGTTCTTCTTCTGCAAAAAGGAAAGCTGCAGAAGAGGAAGACTCTGAAGAAGAGGGAGATGAGGGCTCCCTGGTGACAAGGCCTCAAGTTAGGAGACACATCGTCTCTGATGACGAAGCTGAAGTGTCGGTTTCTCTTACCGAACTTGTTGAAACTCCAATAATAATTCCTGACGATGACATCACTCCCCACGATACTCGTGCGTCTATTGACCAACTTTTCATCAACAGATTTAGTCGTGAAGATGTAGGACCTATTTTAGACGAAGTACCCTTATCTTCTTTTTCAACTCCCGTGCTTGTGGTTCCTTCCTTACCGACCCCAGCTATTTCCGTTCCTTCTTCTACTGCTTTCACCTCTTCTCCGGCTCCTCCTTTGACTATTCCCCCTCCTATCATTCATCATACATAAGTGGGCTCTTCAAGTAGAAGTGCCGCTATGAGGCGGGTAACTATTGAAGTTCCTGCCGAGAGCAGCCTTTTGAGAAAGTCAGGTCAGGCAGATGCATGGTTGGAGCCTTTAATCAACCCAATTGAAAAAGCTAAGTTGGAGAGTCATAGTTCCCTGATTTTAATGAATGATATCGTACATGCTACTTTGAAGGTACTTTACTTCTCTTCCTTTTTTGCTTTATAATTCGACTATCTTTGAGGATTCTTACTTCCTTTTCCCCTTTTCAGGCCAACCTTATTGGCACAGAAATGATGAAAAGAATCGCCCCTTGGAGAAGATAGCACGTGACTCTCATTCGGAAGCAATCAATTGGAAGGAGCAATTTGAGAGTGCACAAATTGATATAGAAGACTTACAAGAGAGCAAAAATACCTTAGAGCAGCGAGTGCGGGCTTTAACTTCAGAATTGGCGGTTGCAAAAGCTTCTTCAAGACAAGCAGAAAAAGACAAAGAACGTCTTGAGTCCTCCTTCTCAAAGCAACTATCTAAAGCTAGTGAAGAAATCAGAGAGTTAAAAGCTCTTTTGGACCAAAAGGAAGTTTACGCTGGGGAGCTCGTGAACTTGACTCAAACATAAGAGGACCTTAGAATCTCTGCTAATAAAGTACGTGTTTTAGAATGCTCCCATGCCTCTCTTCAAGCTTCCCACAACTACGCATTGGCTGAAAATGAAGAGCTAAAGAATAAAATCGCTGCTTGGGAAAAGGATTACGAGATCCTTAAAGAAAAATATGTTGTCGAGACAAGTTGGGCATTTTTGAATTCTCGTCGTGATACCCTACTTGAAGCTGGTCAAGAAAACTTCAACATGGAGTTGGAGTTAGCTAAGATTAACGAAACCATTGAAAAGGCTCAACAAACTCAGGACTTCCCTTCTCCCATGGCTGAAGCTCCCGTGAATGTTGAAGCTGATATGGGGATCCCAATTCTTTCAAGCCCAATCGAATCTGTTGCTACAAGCCAAATTGAAACCACATCTGTTGATGTAGCTGCCCAAATTGAACCTACTGCTGTTGATGCTCCTGCTTCGGTTCCTCAAACTTCTCACTGGCCGGTTTTAAACATTCTAGTGATTTTGCTTTTGTTTTGGAAAACTATAATCAGACCCTTAACTTTATTTGAGGGATGATTTTGAAGTCGTAAGTCCCCAAGTCTTTTATGGGGCAATCTATATAAACAATCTCGTAGTTTTATGACTAAGTTTGTCCTTAGTCTTAGATTTTTACATATTAAGAAGTTCTTCGTGTTATTATTATAAACTTCCGTTTTCTTTATTCTTGCCTTAATTTTAAGGACTTACAGGATAATTTGTA